CTATATTATTCCTTAACAAGAAGAATACACATGGTTAAAATAAACATAGAAACTACACTTAGGTTTCATTTTAATAATCAGGAAGTTCCGTATGTTATTAACGAAGTACATAGTTAATAAAGTAATTATTTTTATAAGAAGTCGTCTCATTCATTCCCTTAATTTCACAAGTTGTAGCAAAATAATGTTAACAACAGATATTAATGGTTTGATGTCCTTGAAAAAGGGCTTATAAAAATGTTAAGGTATTTGGAAAATTTCCTAGTTTCTTCATAGCCACTATGGCTTCAACCTGTAGTTCGGAAAGTTCAAAATCGTTGGAAAGTGTTGTTAGTGATAATAGAAAGAAAGGATTGTGGAATTCTCTGGTTCAAAATGTTAAAGAATTTTGTAAAAATACCACATTGCATGGCTTGAATTACTTGGTCAATGAAGATTTATATCCATTGGAGAGGCGGAGTGGATTTAATATAGAAAAAAAAATACTGTAAAAAAACTTAAATGTTTAAAAGGATTTTTAAAGAGTATTTTTTCTAGGAAATCTGAATCGTGGATTTTTAAAGAGTATTTTTTCGAGGACTGTCTGAGTTAAAGGCGTGGATTTTTAAAGAGTATTTTTTCGAGGACTGTCTGAGTTAAAGGCGTGGATTTTTAAAGAGTATTTTTTCGAGGTCTATCTGAGTTGAAAGCGTGGATTTGAAAGAGTATTTTTTCGAGGACTATCTGAGTTAAAGGCGTGGATTTTTAAAGAGTATTTTTTCGAGGATTATCTGAGTTAAAGGCGTGGATTTTTAAAGAGTATTTTTTCGAGGACTATCTGAGTTAAAGGCGTGGATTTTTAAAGAGTATTTTTCGAGGTCTATCTGAGTTAAAAGCGTGGATTTTAAAGAGTATTTTTTCGAGGACTATCTGAGTTAAAAGCGTGGATTTTAAAGAGTATTTTTTCGAGGACTATCTGAGTTAAAGGTGTGGATTTTGAAAGAGTATTTTTTCGAGGTCTATATGGCGTGGATTATTAAAGAGTATTTTTTCGAGGACTATCTGAGTTAAATGCTTGGTTTTTAAAGAGTATTTTTTCGAGGACTATCTGAGTTAAATGCGTGGATTTTTAAAGAGTATTTTTTCGAGGACTATCTGAGTTAAAGGCGTGGATTTTTAAAGAGTATTTTTTCGAGGACTATCTGAGTTAAAGGCGTGGATTTTTAAAGAGTATTTTTTCGAGGACTATCTGAGTTAAAGGCGTGGATTTTTAAAGAGTATTTTTTCGAGGACTATCTGAGTTAAGGGCGTGGATTTTTAAAGAGTATTTTTTCGAGGACTATCTGAGTTAAAGGCGTGGATTTTTAAAGAGTATTTTTTCGAGGAGTATCTGAGTTAAAGGCGTGGATTTTTAAAGAGAATTTTTTCGAGGACTATCTGAGTTAAATGCGTGGTTTTTTTCGAGGACTATCTGAGTTAAATGCGTAAATTTTTAAAGAGTATTTTTTCGAGGACTATCTGAGTTAAAGGCATGGATTTTTAAAGAGTATTTTTTCGAGGACTATCTGAGTTAAATGCGTAAATTTTTAAAGAGTATTTTTTCGAGGACTATCTGAGTTAAAGGCATGGATTTTTAAAGAGTATTTTTTCGAGGACTATCTGAGTTAAAGGCGTGGATTTTTAAAGAGTATTTTTTCGAGGACTATCTGAGTTAAAGGCGTGGATTTTTAAAGAGTATTTTTTCAAGGACTATCTGATTTAAAGGCGTGGATTTTTAAAGTGTATTTTTTCGAGGACTATCTGAGTTAAAGGCGTGGATTTTTAAAGAGTATTTTTTCGAGAACTATCTGAGTTAAAGGCGTGGATTTTTAAAGAGTATTTTTTTGAGGACTATCTGAGTTAAAGGCATGGATTTTTAAAAAGTATCTTTTCGAGGACTATCTGAGTTAAAGGCGTGGATTTTTAAAGAGTATTTTTTCGAGGACTATCTGAGTTAAAGGCGTGGATTTTTAAAGAGTATTTTTTCGAGGACTATCTGAGTTAAAGGCGTGGATTTTTCAAGAATATTTTTTCGAGGACTATTTGAGTAAAAGGCGTGTATTTTTCAAGAATATTTTTTCGAGGACTATCTGATTTAAAAGCGAGGATTTTTAAAGAGTATTTTTTCGAAGACTATCTGAGTTAAAGGCTTGGATTTTTAAAGAGTATGTTTTCGAGGACTATCTGAGTTAAAAGCGTGGATTTTAAAGAGTATTTTTTCGAGGACTATCTGAGTTAAAGGTGTGGATTTTGAAAGAGTATTTTTTCGAGGTCTATATGGCGTGGATTTTTAAAGAGTATTTTTTCGAGGACTATCTGAGTTAAATGCGTGGATTTTTAAAGAGTATTTTTTCGAGGACTATCTGAGTTAAATGCGTGGATTTTTAAAGAGTATTTTTTTGAGGACTATCTGAGTTAAAGGCGTGGATTTTTAAAGAGTATTTTTTTGAGGACTATCTGAGTTAAAGGCGTGGATTTTTAAAGAGTATTTTTTCGAGGACTATCTGAGTTAAAGGCGTGGATTTTTAAAGAGTATTTTTTCGAGGACTATCTGAGTTAAGGGCGTGGATTTTTAAAGAGTATTTTTTCGAGGACTATCTGAGTTAAAGGCGTGGATTTTTAAAGAGTATTTTTCAGGGTCTACCATTGGCGTGGATTTTTAAAGAGAATTTTTTCGAGGACTATCTGAGTTAAATGCGTGGTTTTTTAAAGAGATTTTTTTCGAGGACTATCTGAGTTAAATGCGTAAATTTTTAAAGAGTATTTTTTCGAGGACTATCTGAGTTAAAGGCATGGATTTTTAAAGAGTATTTTTTCGAGGACTATCTGAGTTAAATGCGTAAATTTTTAAAGAGTATTTTTTCGAGGACAATCTGAGTTAAAGGCATGGATTTTTAAAGAGTATTTTTTCGAGGACTATCTGAGTTAAAGGCGTGGATTTTTAAAGAGTATTTTTTCGAGGACTATCTGAGTTAAAGGCGTGGATTTTTAAAGAGTATTTTTTCAAGGACTATCTGAGTTAAAGGCGTGGATTTTTAAAGTGTATTTTTTCGAGGACTATCTGAGGGGTGGATTTTTTAAAGAGTATTTTTTCGAGAACTATCTGAGTTAAAGGCGTGGATTTTTAAAGAGTATTTTTTTGAGGACTATCTGAGTTAAAGGCGAGGATTTTTAAAGAGTATTTTTTCGAGGTCTATCTGAGTTAAAGGCGTGGATTTTTAAAGAGTATTTTTTCGAGGTCTATCCGAGTTAAAGGCGTGGATTTTTAAAGAGTATTTTTTCGAGGACTATCTGAGTTAAAGGCGTGGATTTTTAAAGAGTATTTTTTCGAGGACTGTCTGAATTAAAGGCGTGGATTTTTAAAGAGTATTTTTTCGAGGACTGTCTGAGTTAATGCGTGGATTTTTAAAGAGTATTTTTTCGAGGACTATCTGAGTTAAAGGCGTGGATTTTTAAAGAGTATTTTTTCGAGGACTATATGCGTGAATTTTTAAAGAGTATTTGTTCGAGGACTATATGCGTGAATTTTTAAAGAGTATTTTTTCGAGGACTATCTGAGTTAAAGGCGTGGATTTTCTTGCTGACTTTTTTGTATTTTTCTTTCTTATAGAATTTACTTTGCCTTGTCCTTTATATCGGTCGTTGTTATCGCGGGAATATTTATTAGTGTGGTATACACCAAATGGAATACCACACCGGTTATCATCAGCATTAACCCGAAACCAACATATATTACCAATGAACCATTTCCAGCCCTGACAATATGCAATATGAATAAGGCGTACAAAGCAAAAATTCAAGATTTTCAGAAGTAATGATTTTGTAATTAATGAAAAATAAATAATAATTTATTTTCAATTTTCAGAAACTCTGTGGAATATGCCTTGATACAAATGTTGTGCAAACGACGGGTTAATGTAACTGTAGCCAATACCATAGACGATTGGAGTAGTCTAAATGAATTTATATCGGATGTAAAGAAATGGGCTCAGTAGAAGTGAAATGTTTCTAAAGATTTTGATTTTGTTTCAGATATCACAGCCATGTGAGAAAATGATAATTTCTTGTTGGTTTGGCGGTGTTAAATACGATTGTCTGCGTATATTCCACCCCATTGTAACCGATGAGGGGTTGTGCTGTGCATTTAATTTGGTGCATCCGAAATTTCTATATGCCGAAGGGTAACTAGAAAATGTTTCACCTTGAGATAAGTTTTAATTCTGTTGTTTTCCAGCACTCAATCTCTCATCAAGGAAACCTATAGCAATCACAGTGACATGGATGAAGCGATTAACTGGAATCCAGAATCCGGCTACCCCAAGAAATTACCAAAACATTTTTATCCTCGAACTGCTGCGGGTACTGGAGAATCATTGGGCCTTACCGTAATACTCAATGCCGAGGTGGATCAATATAACTGTTCGTCAACGAATAGTGTTGGCTTCAAAATGGCCATGCACAACCCCAATGAGAGAGCCAATGTTCGTGAAGTGGGTCTGCTGCTGGCAGCAGGATATGAAACAAAGGCTCGAATACGTATGGAAAAAATAGAGGCAGATCAAAAACTGCATTATGTCGGTTTGAAATATCGGCAATGTGAATTTCAAGATGAACACAAGTTACACTATTTTGCAACATATACTGAATCGAATTGTGAGGCGGAGTGTATTGCAAAAACAATGATGCGCCATTGTCGTTGTTTACCGCATTATATGCCGAAGCGATATGAAAATGAAACGGTTTGTAGTATTTATGATAGTCGCTGTGTTGAGCGGATTCGCTTGCACTCGATGATAAATGACGATAATGACAATGAAATTGAATGTGATGAGGTGTGCCTGCCCAGTTGCTATGATTTGAAATTTTATGCAGAATTTTTTTCCACACCATTGGAACATGGGGTTTTTGTCAGCAATAATCCCTCACTGCGAGATATGTCGGAGGAATATGTTGAAAAGAATATTGCCATATTGAACATGTACTATAAGGATAATTCATTTCACAGTAATAAACAAACGGAATTTATTGGCATGACAGATTTTATGTGTAAGTTAAGAATATTTTCTTAAATACATAATTTTTAAAATAATTTATTTTCAATTATTTGCAGCCAGTATTGGTGGCCTCATTGGTTTATTTTTTGGTTTCAGTTTCATGTCTCTGGCGGAAATAATATTTTATACACTCATTCGTCCTTGCCGTAAAGTTCGTAGGAAAAAATCGAAAATAATGTCGATAAAGCAGGCCAGAAAAATATATGTCAGCAAATATAGCCCGAAAGGAATGAAAGTTCGTCGCAATTATTTATCTCCGTTCATCGTAAATCCTTATGGTCGCAGAATTTCCCAAAACATAAATTATTATCCAGCTCATATAAATGCAGATTTATTAGAAATTAATGATTTGGATATACCTACAATTTATAAGACCCAATATAAAGGGCGCAGAAGTTTAATAAATTAAAAAAATAAAATACGTACATACACAGAACCCTGCAAGTGTATTGTTTTACATATACATATTGGCTGAAAGTGCTTGAAATAATTTCTTTAAAAAATCCACGCCTATGTGGCTGAAAGAGCTTGAAATAATTTCTTTAAAAAATCCACGCCTATGTGGCTGAAAGAGCTTGAAATAATTTCTTTAAAAAATCCACGCCTATGTGGCTGAAAGAGCTTGAAATAATTTCTTTAAAAAATCCACGCCTATGTGGCTGAAAGAGCTTGAAATAATTTCTTTAAAAAATCCACGCCTATGTGGCTGAAAGAGCTTTAAATAATTTCTTTAAAAAATCCACGCCTATGTGGCTGAAAGAGCTTGAAATAATTACTTTAAAAAATCCACGCCTATGTGGCTGAAAGAGCTTGAAATAATTTCTTTAAAAAATCCACGCCTATGTGGCTGAAAGAGCTTGAAATAATTTCTTTAAAAAATCCACGCCTATGTGGCTGAAAGAGCTTGAAATAATTTCTTTAAAAAATCCACGCCTATGTGGCTGAAAGAGCTTGAAATAATTTCTTTAAAAAATCCACGCCTATGTGGCTGAAAGAGCTTGAAATAATTTCTTTAAAAAATCCACGCCTATGTGGCTGAAAGAGCTTGAAATAATTTCTTTAAAAAATCCACGCCTATGTGGCTGAAAGAGCTTGAAATAATTTCTTTAAAAAATCCACGCCTATGTGGCTGAAAGAGCTTGAAATAATTTCTTTAAAAAATCCACGCCTATGTGGCTGAAAGAGCTTGAAATAATTTCTTTAAAAAATCCACGCCTATGTGGCTGAAAGAGCTTGAAATAATTTCTTTAAAAAATCCACGCCTATGTGGCTGAAAGAGCTTGAAATAATTTCTTTAAAAAATCCACGCCTATGTGGCTGAAAGAGCTTGAAATAATTTCTTTAAAAAATCCACGCCTATGTGGCTGAAAGAGCTTGAAATAATTTCTTTAAAAAATCCACGCCTATGTGGCTGAAAGAGCTTGAAATAATGGTTGAAAGAGCTTGAAATAATTTCTTTAAAAAATCCACGCCTATGTGGCTGAAAGAGCTTGAAATAATTTCTTTAAAAAATCCACGCCTATGTGGCTGAAAGAGCTTGAAATAATTTCTTTAAAAAATCCACGCCTATGTGGCTGAAAGAGCTTGAAATAATTTCTTTAAAAAATCCACGCCTATGTGGCTGAATGAGCTTGAAATAATTTCTTTAAAAAATCCACGCCTATGTGGCTGAAAGAGCTTGAAATAATTTCTTTAAAAAATCCACGCCTATGTGCCTGAAAGAGCTTGAAATAATTTCTTTAAAAATCCACGCCTATGTGGCTG